CCATCACGAATAACTTTTTTCCTGGAAAATTCTCTCCAAAATGCTTTTGTACGCTTGTAAACAATATAATGAGCTGTCACAGGAATAATTTTAATAGCTGTCGGATGAATGGCTAAGAAATGACAGCAGTCTAAAGTTGTTTGCAGTTTTTTCATCTCAAGCTATGACTATATCGGAACAGATTTTTACCTAATTTGATTTACTTGGTTCTAGACTGAATTCGGTTGGATGTGCCAAAATTCAGGTCATTTAGGCTGATATTAAAAATTCGGTGCACAATTAACCCGTAATAGGTTGAAGATATATATAGGAGCTATATTTAAATTTGAACCGAGTCTCACCAATTTCCAATAAGGTTCGTCCTTGGGCCAAACAAAAATTGTTTGGAAAATGTCATCACAATCGGATAGTAAATGCGATCTGCATTTTGTTCTCAAAAATACTTGATCAGACGGACGGACTAACCTGTATAAACCGACTCAGAAAGTGATTCCATAAAGATTCTCAAAAGTAACTATGGGCCTATCGCGCTTCTTTCTCCATGTTACAAACAAATACACAAAGACCTAATACCCTTATCACTATGTGGTGTAGGGTATAAACATGTAAGAAAAGGTTACAGTCCGTTGGCACTATTTTCGACATGGCGATATTTTCTCTAGAGAAAATAAGAATAAACAGTACGACCTGCGATTTAAATCAACAATAACCAACAATACTAATTTCATGCGCCCTCTGTTAAAACATTCCCTTCAGAGATACCTCACAAATGCATTCAATCTTTTTAATTTATTGACGTATTTACATATTCCATTAGTTTTCATCTTTCTCTCTCTCTCTCTCTCGCAGTCTCTCTCTCTCTTTCTCTCTGTGTATCACACCCACCAAACCCCCCATAGACATCAATTGTCGGTTTGACTACTCTGTTTTACATCAACTTGAAAGTCCAATTATACTTCGAGCAATAAATAGTTTTTCAACCATGGAAAATGCAATAAAAATCACTGTTTCCTCTGGGTCGGCAAACGAACGAACGAAATGCAAAAAACTGTTATTATTTGGCTGTTGGCCAAGCTCGAATAACGAACGGGGAAAATGAAATAAAAACAACCTTGTTAATAACATTTTGCCGTTACAGCATCATCGCTCCCATTTCGCTTCATTTTTATTTATTTCGCATCATTTGAAACATTTTCCGTCACTGAAGTGTTACGAAAATAAATTGAAAAATCGCGTTTGGGGGATATGTTGAATGGCCACTGGGAGGAAATAAATGCATGCAAAAAAATGCTTCATTGAATTTGAAACTTTGGGAATGATGACGATAATCAGAAAGGGAAGTGGCAAAATCGACGTTGTGGTAATATAATGCTGCTGTGGTTATAACAAGGGGTACAAAGTCGAAGTTTATCCTGCAAACATTTCCATTACCAAATTTTGAGATTTCTTATAATTTTTTGCTAGTAAATAAATTTACTTACTAACCAATTATTTTTACAAGGGCATTCCACTCTGTTTAATGTTCATAATCCATATCCACTTTTTATACCCTACGTCACACTGTAGTACAGGGTATTACGTCTTTATGCATTTGTTTATAGCAAGAAAACGAAATAGACCCATTGCTCCTTTTGACGATCTTCCTAACATCACACCCTGAGTCGCTTTATACATGACCATCCGTCTGTTAATGTATTTTTGTAAACAAAGTACATGTCGCATTTATTGTCCGATTGGGCTACTAGTGCCTCCGTCAAATTTGATGGAAACAGATTCAGATTTGGATATACCTCCTACAGGGTTGCCCATATTCGACGGACCCATCTGGCAACGCCATAACTTTTGACAGAGATGTCACATCGCCAAGCAGATTTTTACCATGAACCAATACAAGCCATGCGAACGCTCTGAAATAGTTGAAATTTACATTCAACAGAAGAAGTCAATTGTGAAAATTCAACGTGCTTTTAAAACATTAAAAAATGTGAGAAGTGCGCCTTCTAAGAACACCATTAAGCGTTTATACGAAAAATTTTCGACTGGTAAGGCTCTTTCTAATCCGAAGAGGCCATATTAAAGTCGACCAAGGCGATCGGCCGAGAATATCGCTGCCGTACGAGCCAGTGTTGAGAGGTCCCCAAGAACATCCCAAAACGCCGTTCTCAGCAGTTGGACATGGCTCGGTCCACTTTACAACGGATTATTCGCATTGATTTGCATTTGTTTCCGTACAAAATTCAATTGACGCAAAGAATGTTGCCTGCGGACAAGCCTCGTCGATTGGAATGGGCCCAAAGAGTCATCGAAATGGCCGAAGATGAAGAGCAATTTTGGAGATACTAGGAACAAATTAAATGATTAACATTGCCAGCCGACAAATATTTATTTTTTTTTTCTTTGATTTTAAAAAAAAAAGAAGCGTCCGTCGAATATGGGCAACCCTGTATATCTTAGCTCCCGATAGGTACTCGGGTTGTTTAATGTAAAGTTTGATTAGCTGACGCTTCGGAGGTGGTCAGGTATCGGTGAGGAAGATCGGGAATTACGTTGTTGTGTTCGGGTGACGTTGGCGTTTTCGATTTGAAGGCAATCTGGAATTTGTGGTCTTTGGTTTTCGATAGTCTGACGGTTATCGGGAATTACGATGTTTATATTCAAGTGATGCGGGATGTTAAAGATTTGAAGGTTATTGGAGCTTGTGTCCTTCGGGTGTCGACTGATTGAATGCAGTCGGGAATTACGATGCAGTAATGTTAACGTTCGGAATTGTGCAGGTCTTCGAAGGCGGTTTGGGGACAAGTGGTATAGACGCTGGCAGTTCACAGTGCAGATACTCGGAAGCAGCTGCCCAGGTCCTCGTAGACGGATTGAGATCGGCTCGTGTTCGGCAGCTCGGTGAGGGTAAGTTCGGGTTTAGCTATTCGAGTGTCTACAATTTCTAGGTAACTATTGAGAGCTACGGTTCATAACTACAGGGTTGCCCATATTCGACGGACCCATGGGCCCATTCCAATTGACGAGGCTTGTCCGCAGGCAACATTCTTTGCGTCAATTGAATTTTGTACGGGAACAAATGCAAATCAATGCGAATAATCCGTTGTAAAATGGACCGTGCCATGCCTAACTGCTGAGAACGGTGTTTTTGGGATGTTCTTGGGGACCTCTCAACACTGGCTCGTACGGCAGCGATATTCTCGGCCGATCGCCTTGGTCGACTTTTATATGGCCTCTTCGGATTAGAAATAGCCTTACCAGTCGAAAATTTTTCGTATAAACGCTTAATGTGTTCTTAGAAGGCGCACTTCTCACATTTTTTAATGTTTTAAAAGCACGTTGAGTTTTCACAATTGACTTCTTCTGTTGAATGTAAATTTCAACTATTTCAGAGCGCTCGCGTGGCGTGTATTGGTTCATGGTAAAAATCTGCTTGGACTGACGCTTCAAACGCGGTATGTCATTAAGAGATGTGACATCTCTGTCAAAAGTTATGGCGTTGCCAGATGGGTCCGTCGAATATGGACAACCCCATATTCCCAAATAACGATTTTGTTAGTCGAAGGACGGCAAATGATTCAGGAAATCACTAGCTACTCTTTCGCAAGCCCCCTGCAGTTGCAAGCCTGTCTATCATGCCGCAAACCTAACATTATATGTGACCGGCCCTACAAAGTAAATGAGAATTATTAGGCTTATGCTGTTAATGGCATACCACCGAAAACTAAATTGTTCACTACGCGCCCAACGAATACAGCGGTTGCTGGCTGGTGCCTTTATCGCGGCACGTTCTTGTGGTCTAGTTATGGTCGTTGTTGTTGTTAACATTGCGAATATTGATATGGTTGGTTAGTGCTGTTAACGTCGAGCGTCTTGTAGTCTTGTTGATACTATTGTGCAATAGGTGCTGTTGTTTGTTCGTCCAAATGTATGTGATGGAATCATTCCGTTACAGCAGGAAGTTTTACTGTATATGAATACTGGTGTAGGCTATATGGTCGGTCCCACCCGACTTTTAAAATTTCTTAACGGCTTCGGCATTATTTATTTGCTAATAATGGCAGTTTGGTAAGTACTTACTTCCTATGATATGCTTATGTTACCCATTATTTGGAATAACATTTCTTCCTGGTTTGAACTTTCCACAGTTATTCTATAGATAATAGGGCTTTCACATAATTCCAATGGAGAAGCGATTCTTGGGTATTCGTCCTTGTATTCTGACTCAGAATTTTTTAACATATTTGCTTTGCAATTAAAACACAAATACATGACTCGCAACACAATGACAATAGGCAAAAGCTATGAAAGAATCGCCAAACCTCACACATTGTTCTCTTCTATTCCCTAACAATGACACGATGCAACATTGAGGCAACAATAGTAACATCATTCCAGTACCACCATCTGGCACATAGTTGTCGTTTCGATTTCCAGTACGACGAATGTCACTTGTCTCTTCATTTAACCGCACTCAAAGGATGCCCGGCACCAAAGACATGAAAGGATGGATCATTTGAAGGAAAAAACATACGAAAGCAAGAAATGATTCGCTCTGGTGGCTTACGAACTAAACATAAACTCAAAGAAGACGAGATACTATATCGAGCAGTGACAAGTCATTTCCAGTTTGTAACCGCAACAACGGTTTAATTAACGTACGGATGCTTTTGGCTGCCCTTGAATGGAGAATGAAACGAACGCAACGCAATAATGCCATGGAATCCGTGTTCCAATTTTACAGGAAAAACGATTGCAAAATTCATGAAACGAAACTGATTGTGAAACAAATAGGTGTCTCGTGGACATTTTTTTTATCCCAGTTGAAAACGTAGAACATCTTTTTTTATACCCTACACCACATAGTGGTAAAGGTATTATGTCTTTGTGCATTTATTTGTAACATGGAGAAGGAAGTGAGATAGACCTATAGTTACAAGAATTGTTTGGCCCAGGGACGAACGCTACTGAAATTGGTGAGAATCGGTTCAAATTTAGATTTACAGGCATGTCACAGAATGTAAAATCGTTCAAGAGTGAAAACGAAAACGGTTTTAGCTTCTCTAAAAAACGGAAAACGCAAAAATTTTGCGTTTTGATATCACTTTCAAAAAGCAGGGTGAAATTGAAATGTTTAGTGATTTTAACGTAAAAAATAAACAGAAGACACATACATTTAACAGAAAATATTGTATTAACCAAATTCTCTTAGAATGAACATGTTTTTGGAATTTTTTTTACAAAAAATCTATTATTTTTCTAATCCATGATGAAAACGCAAAAAAATATGCAGAAATGAACGGCAGACTTGTATTGTTGAATTATTGCCATATGTGTTGAAGAAGAAGGTGTGGAAATGTACAACTGACAGACCAAAAAACAAGAAGGGGAAAAACAAAAAAACAATTAATTGTTTGGTTTGAGACAGAGCGCTTCAGTCAATCGGGCAAAAATGTAAGTATTTACATACATATTTCTAAATTTTTGTCAAAAACTGTTTATTTAATTTATTTTATACTTTAGGGGCAAACACCGAAACGTTAAACAGGACAAAATTTTTATCAATTTTATGGATAAACATCACGATATTGCCAGGGGCTATGTAAAAGGTGATTAGGTTGTTGTTGATTCCCTATGGACAGAATTGACAGCTTTGCTGAATAGTTCAGGTCCACCAAGTAAAACCTGTAAAGAATGGAAGAAAGTTTGGTCAGATTGGAAAGGAAATGTTAAGGCGAAGATGTGCCATAATAAAAAGGACTTGCGAGGAACTGGTGGTGGTGATATCAATCAATATGTTTTCAATGAACACGAGAACAGTTTAATCAGAATTTGCGGATTGTATAAAAGTGTCGATCGAGTTGGTGGTGCAGTAAGCTTTGCGGATTTTGTAAGTGAATTAGACCTCAGTTGTTCTGAAAAAGAAAACTTTGATTCGTCATCATCTACACATATTCCAAGAACTCGAAAATCAAGTCAATTAGTTTTAAGTGAATCTGAAAACGAAGAGCTTAATTTTTCACCCTCAACTTCAAAGCAGACCACTTCGATTTTAAATAAAAAAGATAGACCAAGATCATGCATTCCAGCTGCTTTTAAAAATGTTTCTACATTGGCAATTGATCCAAGAACACCAACATTGGAAGAAAACCGTTCGCGAACACCTATTCAAAAACGACTTAGAAATAAAAGCTTATCGTGTTCTCCGCCATCTACACCAATAAGACAAGTGTCCGGCAGCCTAACAAAAGCAAAACCCACGCCTGCAGTAAAAAGACCCCGGGCAAGAACTCCCTCAAAGCAAGATCTAAATGCGCTTTTAGTTGAGGAAAATTCTCATTTAGAAAACTTGGACAAAATTTGTAAAATTCTAGAAGATAACAGTAAGGAAATGAAAAAACTAACTGAAAAGTTGGACAGACTTTGTAACATCCTGGAAAAAAAGTATGTGGAAGAGCAGTTACATAATATTGAAATGCAAAAGAGAATGCGTGAACGGAACGAAATGAAACTCAAAATAGTTGAACTTGAAACTCTTAAATATGCTGTAGAACAGGAAAAAGCAAATACGACTCGTTCTTAACTTTACATTATTTTACACAATGGACTAAAAACAATCTGTTTTTTTTTATAAAATGTTTTTTTTTTTATTATTTAAATGAATTGAAATAAAAAATGCATTAGTTCATTTGACTAGCAATATTATTTCTAATACGTTTGGCTACGTTGTACATATTTATTTCAGGGTAGATGTCCACAATATTTTGGTCGTTTTCAGAATTTTCCTCATTTGTAACAGGTATCTCGTCTTCTTCGCAAGTATTGAAGCCCCTGGCATTTTTACTTTTGGTGTTTATATTATAAAAAAACAATTTAAACTCCTTTTTTAATTGTCAATAATTTGTTTACGACTTTTTTTCATGGAGTTACCATATTTTTATTTCAAAAATGTGAAATGATTTTTTTTCCGGATTAGTCAAATCGTACGAGTGCTGAAGAAGCAAAAGCAAATCGTAACGATTTGGAAAAGGTGAAATAAATCGATTTCGTAAAACTTCTGTGACATGCCTGATAGTTCCCATTTATATCTTCAAACCGATTTGGGGTAAATTTTGCCCCGAATTTCCAATATCAGCCCAATTGACCTGAACTTCGGCACATTCGACCAAATTGAGTCTTGAAGTAACTACATTCAATTTGGAGAAAATCGGTTTAGATATAGCTATAGCTCCCATATATATGTTTCATCCGATTTGGGGTTTTAAATCCCTCACATATATATCTTTAGTGCACCAAATTGCTAATATCAACCCAAATGGACTGAATTTCGGCACTTCCGACGAAATTCAGCCTAAAAGCAAGCGCATCAGATTTTGGTGAAAATCGGTTCAGATATATCTATAGCTGTCATATATAAGTTTCATCCGGCTTGATGTTAAAGTCCCTCACATGCGTAATGTGCACTCCACAACAATCATATGCAGCTCGAAAATACCTCTGCCGAATTTTATTGAGATCAATCCAGATTTCTATGTAGCTTCGATATACATCTTCGTTCGATTTTACGGTTATTGTCCACCACATATGTAAAATCAGCCAAAATTGAATAGATTTTTTCATATTCAACCGAATTTTTCCATTTGGTGAAACTGGGCCCGGTATATTTATTGCTCCAGTAAATATTTTTATACCCTCCACTATACTATGGAGGGTATATTAATTTTGTCATTCCGTTTGTAACTCCTCGAAATACTCATGTCAGACCCAATAAAGTATATATATTCTTTATCAGCGTAAAATTATAAGACGATTTAGCCATGTCCGTCTGTCTGTTGTAATCACGCTTTCTTTCGAACAAATTCAGATAGAAGGCTAAATTTTTGCAGACGTGTATATTTTGCCAGTAGGCAGGTTAAGTTCGTAAATGGACCATGTAGGTCCAAGTTATCATATAGCCCCCATATAACGGTAGCTCCCGATATTCGGTATTTTGATGAATTTAGCGACATTATTTAACGGAATTATTTGAAATTTTGCATTTGAAGTTCGTAATGGATACTATTGCCTAAGACAGAAAAGTATCTGTGCAGGTCCGCGTCTTCGTATAGCCCCCATATAACGGTACCCCCGATATTCGGTATTTTGATGATTTTAGCGACATTATTTAACGGAATCATTCCAAATTTGGTATTTGAAGTTTGTAATAGATACTGAAGCATAAAACAGAAAATGGGCCATGTAGGTCCACGTCTTCGTATAGCCCCCATATACCGTACCCCCCAATATTCAGTATTTTGATGATTTTGGCGACATTATTTACCGGGATTGTTTCAAATTTCGCATGTAAAGTTCGTAATGGATACTTCAGCCCATGCCAGAAAATTGTCTGTGCCTATATTCGGAATTTTGATGATTTTAGCTACATTATAAACAGATTTATCTTCAAGTTTCACATTTAAATATTGTGATAACTTATGACAAAAGTTGCCTATGCAGGTCCACGTTGTCCACCACATTCGGTATTTTTAATATTTTAACCGAATTTTTAACGGCCCGGTCGAACTTACAGCTTTTTTACTTGTTTCATATAATCACTATCCAAGCCATATCATGCACTATACATCAATATTATTTGGTACTAGAGGTACAAAAGCCTCCGTCAAATTTGTTGAAAATCAATTCAAAGTTGGGTATAGTTCCCAAATTGTGACCTCTCTAAAACCATAATACTCATTCAAAAAAGGTTCATAGTTGGTATGAACTACTTCACATAAATTCCGAATACAAACTTTTTTGTGACGGGAGATCTATTAAAACGTATAGTGGTGTAGGGTATCATATGTTCGGCTTCGCCCGACTTTTGACCTTCCTTACTGGTTCTAAATACATTGGTAGCTTTTACAATGATATTGGCCTATCTTCACTACAAAATGGATAATTCTGTTTATTTATATACCCATTGAGCCATAAATGTGTCTCTTCTTTGATCACAATTTTTCTCTAAAATGGGTGGATCTTCTGCCAACTTTCGACAATCCCAATCACTTAAAGTTCTGCACTGCGTAGGTCGTTCAGCTTCAATTCTGACATCAGCTGAATTTTGAACAACTAAATCCTTTCGCAAAATTTTCCACCTTGTTGAATAACAGAGTACCAAATGCTGCAGACGGTGACGAATCGATAATTGATGGTCATCATTAACACTGGCCGTTAGAGCTGCCATATTTTCTTCAGGTCGTACTTCACGTAAGAGTGTTGGCCCTTTTTTTGTTCCACAATGAGAGTTTGGTGCGAAATTTTGTCGCTCCAGTTGGTCAAATAAAGGTGCTCCCTTCTATGACAGCAAATCGCTAATACAGGTCAACGCTTTTGTATTGCCTCCCTAAACTGTAGCTCCCGATATAAAGGTACCTCCCGATTTTCGGTATTTTCACGATTTTTGTCACATTTTCCACCGGAATTGTCTCAAATTTGGTTATTTTAGTTTTCGATGGGGACTACCTAATTTGACAGAAAATAGCCTACAACAGGTCCACTCTTCGTTTAGCTCCCATATAATAGTTAATAGGACAAGACAGAGTCGAAACATGGCAACCCTGTGAAAATACCTATGTTGTTACGATATCATAACAACATGGTTACCAATCTTAACTGATTTAAACCGCTAAAGCAATATGCAAATTTCGAAACCAAAATTTTGGATTTTTCAAATTTTTATTTGTTATTCGTTTCTGTAACTGTGGTTTTTATATTAACATGTCTCTGCAATTTGCTCAAAATGCATTTTGTCTAGTCTTTACCATTTTAGGTCTTTGTAATAGTACATCCGAAATATTATTTTAAAGTTGGTATTTGGCGTTGACAATAGGTACTATGTTCGCTAATAGCAAAAAATAACTATAGACCCACATTTTGTATAGCCCCCATATAACTGTACCTAACATATTCGGTATTTTTGATGTACGTCAGATTTTTCTATGGAATTATCTCAATAATTGCAATATGCCTTCTCTGGCAGATACTCAGCTGCTTGTTTCTATTTATTTTACTTGTATCTTTTTTTCGAAGATTTTTCTTTAAATAAATCCATTTTCAAAATTATTATTACCCAAAACATTAATTCTATCCATCTCAATTACCCACCATCTTCTTAGTTCCCTAACTCATTGTGTCTGGTATAAAATTCTTATCATTTCGGATTTAGTTTTGGCCTTGTTTGAAGGACAATGGCGTTTGTATAATTTATGTGTCTGCTGTGCAGTTTACATTTCTTTGTGTCTGCATTCTAAGCTTTGTCTGGAAAATTTACATTTACAAGGATATTTGAAATACAAGGACATACTTTGTAACTATGACAGTAAAAAAAACTTGTGAATTGTTAATGAAGACATCTTACTGATACATGTTGGTAAGAGGTTGACGAAAGGGAACTCAAAAAAAAATATTCAAACATTATTCATTTTTAATCGCAAAAGTAAATAAAAAATAAAAATAAATAAATCAACAAATAAAATATATATACATCGATATAACCCAACTAGCCACACAAATAACTAAAACATTGTCTTTTTTATACCAAAGCAAATGACCTTCTTTAAAATTACATATTTTATATCTTTAAAATTTAACGCATAACATCAGTGACGTGTCAAATTAATTTTTGTCATTTGGAGTGTGAGAACAAGCTGTAAATGACACCATTAATGTGTCAACACGTCATGCTTCAAATAGCCACCTATTTTGATATGTTTGCGAACATTTGGGAAGAAGTGAAACGATTGAAATATATCGACGAAATTTAATATTTAAGGAGTTACAGCCATTCTAAAATACCCTATTTTAAATTATTAAACTAGTAAAGAAAACTCAAAAGTCAGGGAGGGCCCATTTATGATACCCTATACCACTATCCACATGTAATAGAGCTCCCGTAACAAAAAAAGTTTATATTGGGAATTTATGAACCTTATTTGCATGCGAATCATAGCTTAAGAGTAATCACAATTTTGGAACTGAATAGATTTTTACCAAATTTGACAGAGGTCTTTGTACCTCCAGTACATTGTTGTATAGTGGACGCTATCACTTCGAAAAGGATTATATTAAATAATATTTATTGGAGCAATAGATATAGCGGACCGAGTTTCACTAAATAGAATAATTCGGTAGAATATGAAAAATATATTCTATTGGGGCTGATATTACATATATGGTGAACAATAACCGTAAAATCCGATAAAGATATATATCGAAGCAATATAAAAACAAGTAAGCAAAGGCTATAGTCGTGCGAGGCCGACTATGTTTTACCCTACAACACCCTACCTACATATGTTAGAAGCCCCCTTATGTCCAAATCCATATTGCAAGATTTCGCTTTTGAAATTAGGAAATTTTTGAAGTTTGGATTTGGAATGTCCCGAGTCATTTGCCCAATATCTATGCACTCCGTCGTGCTGTTAGTTGTTGTAGTCGATTTTACAGCTAAATAAAATCCAAAGGTCATCCAAAATGTTAGAATTCTTCCCTGTCCCTTAAGTCTTTTCACAGGCGTGTCGATTGGCTTCAATTGTGTGATCGGAAAAACATTTCTGTTAATTTGGTTAATTTGAACCCCTAAATATTTTCCAATCATCTCGAAA